CCCCCCCGCCAGCTCCTGCCCCTGCTGACCTCGTCCCCTGAAGGCCTGCTGCAGGACCAGAGCTCTCGGTCCCTTCCTGCCAGCAAGGCAGCCTCCGGGGCAGAGGGTGACCGTGTTGTGGGGGATCTGTGGCTCTGGCTTGTCCTGTCCTCCCCACGCCGGCTTCTGTGGAGGGATGGTACCCCCAGCTCCCGTGGCTTAGGAGGGGGCAGCCAGTCGGCGGTGCCACTTCAGCCCAGAAATCCGTGAGGCCGCCTGCAGGCCCTGTGGCCCGGGTTTGGTCACGTGCTGCCCAAGGAGGTGGAGCTGCCTCACGTGGATGAGGTTTGTTTTGTTTTGTTTTTTAATGTTTATTTATTTTGAGAGAGAGAGCGAGCGGGAGAGGGGCAGAGAGAGGCAGAGACAGAGAATCCTAAGCAGCCTCTGCACTGTCAGCCAAGGGTCTGACGAAGGGGCTCAAAGCCACGAACCCACGAGATCATGACCTGAGCTGAAAACAGGAGCCGGACGCTCAACCGACTGAGCCGCCCAGGCGCCCCTTGCGTCGAAGAGTTCTACTTCCCACCAATGTCCCTCTGCACTGGTGACCTTTGGCCATCAGGGACTTGAGGACATTTGTAGAGTGTGTCTGCCTCGGGCTCAGCTCCCCTGTGCGGACGGCAGTGTCTTCGGTGGATGGCCGGGCTTCCGGCTGCAGACGTGGCCCGGCTGGAGCCCACGAGGGAGGGCCACCAACTGGTGGTTTCCATCTGCACAGCCTCACTCTCTTAGCTCCGGCCCTGTTGGTTGTCTCGCTCGGGCCGCGGAGGCCCCCCGGGAGCACAGCCGCCTGCGGTGAAGCCTACTTAAAAAAATAACAGAAACTGTTAACATAGAGAAAAAAGGTACTTAGAGGAAATCATTTTCAATATTCTGACACCTTTGCACCCTCCTTTATAGAGTTCAGGTAATCCTATATACGCTCCAATTTTTATTTTTGGAGAAGTAGTGCGCGTTTATAACAATATTCGCATAATACCAGAAATTGCCAATAAGAGCGTAAAAACCAGACGATCGTGACGAGTGCACCTTCCCAGGTGCCGTAGCACACACACGTACGTGGCACGTGGAGGGTTTCGGGTCATGTCTGTCCTCCCCTTTGTGGGCGATGTTACCGTCTCTCTGACCTGCTAATAGCCCCAGTGCACTTCACCTTGTGGCATGAGACTGTAAATTACTCAACCCGTTCTGCCAGGTTCTGGTTTTTGCTGTTTGGATACTGCGGTCACAGATACCTATGGGCGTAAATCAGCTCGCCCCCCTGGAGACTTCTTTAGGACAGGTTTCTGGAGGTGGGAACCTCAGCGTAGAGATATGGGCTCCTGACGCTGGCTCCACGTTGCTTTCCCAGATGTGGCTTCCGTGGGGCTTGTGCCTGGCTATTCTTCAGACGTTGGACCTGCCAGGCCGGGAGCGGCATGGGAAGGAACTCCCGTCCCTAGAGTTTGTGCCCGGGAGCAAGGCTGTAGTGGGTGACCGGGCGCACGTGTGTGTCTGCGAAGGAGCACCTTTCTGCCAGGCCCACCTTGGAGGCTGTGAGGGCGTGAGGGCCTCGTGTATGCTGCACTCCTGAGTCTCTGATGAAAGAGGTGGCGGCCTTCTCCCTGGAAGAGCGCATAGGCACACGGCGTTCGCGTGTCCGCGACCCGGCTCCACGTTCGAGTTCCTGGCCGTGGGCAGCTCAGCTGCCCCGCACCGTGTTTAGGGGCCGGCCGCAGGTTGGGGAGGTGACCATAGGGGAGGCGCCCAGCTGGAGTCCCAGACCTTGTGCTTTTCAGTCTCGTCTCACGACACGGCTCCAGTCATCGACACGGTCACGAGAAGAGTCACACCAGCGTTAGATGTGCGCGTCTGCCTTTAATCTGGGGTGCTGCCACCGCCCCCATTTCATAGATGAAGAAGCTGAGCCCGGGGAAGGTGAAGTGAAGCAGCACAATGGGGACTTGAACCCAGGTCCAGCCAGAGCAGCAGGCGTGACTGACTGCCCTCTGTGCTTTCTAGGGATGGAATGTCATGGGTTTGCCCAGAGCGCACAGTCCAGTGTCTCTGAGTGAGCTCAGGGCCGTGAGGTCAGCACCCCACAGCTCTGGAGCACTGTCCCCCCCGAAGGAAGCCTGTGCCCACGCACAGTGACCCATCTGTGTCTGTGTGCTTGCCCCCCCGGGCGCTTCCTGTCACCTGGCCCTCCTCTTCCACCTGGCCTCTTTCTGTGCACCAGTGCCCGTGAGGTTTGTACGTGTTGTAGCAGGGGTCAGCGTTCCATCCTTCCCCGGCAGAGCGGTGCTCCGTGGCACAGACGGGCCCCCACCTCACGTGGCCGTTCGTCCACTGCTGGGCATCGTGGCTGATGCTTCTGCTCCACATTTGGTCCCTCGCGTGGTCGTGGAGGATGACTGGAGTTGGCCGGCCTCGTCGCCGCCCGTGACTCCGGGTGGCCTGCCCGCCAGCACGTCCCGTCATTGGTCACTGACCGGTGGCCACCCTGGGCCCCGCTCTGTTCTGGCTGGCGTGGGCCCCGTTCTTGGGCGTGCCCTTCCAGAGCCTTAGGCACGACGGGCATCTGAAAGGCAGGCCGCCCCAGGGAGTTGAGAAGGAATCAGGCGCTGTCACACTGTGTCAGTGGGGCGCCAGGCAGAGGAGCCCTCCCTTTGCCCAGCAGGGTGGAGGAATGGGCTGTGGTCGGCTCCAGACCCCTCACCGAGGGGCCCCAGACCGTTGTCTGGCTCGGCTAGAGTCTTTCTGAAGAGCCTCGCGCCTGTCCCCTGCGTTCCCTGTGTGGCTGCTAAACAGCAAAAAGCCTGCGGCCAGTGGGCGGCCGTCCTCACAGTGGCAAGGTCGTGCGATAGCAGAAACACGGTGATGTTGTCGGCGTGGCTGAGGACGGCGTCCTTCGAAGCTCCGCGTGTCTGGATCGGGCATTTGGATCGTGTCTGTTCGCCACGGCATTTGGACTGTGAATTCCTTTAGCAAAGAAGGAATGACCCTGGATGGGCCTGTCTTGTTACGTTTCACTGAGCTGACCGCACCGCTTGTAAGATACACCGTTAGTTTAGAAATCTCCAGGAAAGGAAGCCCTTGCTTCAAGTTGAAGGGGGACACGCCTTCGATCGTGAGAGCACGCCCAGTGTCAGAGGTGCTGTGCTTCGAGAGTGCGCCTCTCAGAGCTGACATACCTGGGGAGCCGAGGAGTTAGCACCTAGTGACCACGTAGCATGTGCTGGGCATCTACCAGGGAGTTTCCAGGGAGCCCGAGCTACGGAGGTCATGTCTCTCCTTCATGGGCGAGGAAACTGAGGCTCAGACGAGCCAGGCAGTGCACCCTGCGTCAGCGAGTTGGAGTCTGAAGGCCGCACAGGCCGACCGGACGTGCATTCTACCCGGTGCGCTGTGCCCAGGTAGCGGGGTCCTGCCCCGTGGCAACCAGACCCAGACGCCGTCTAGACGTTAACCTTGAGAGAGAGACCAGCCCGTGTGCACAGAACTCGGGAACATGACGGAAGAACATAGAAAGGGGCGCCCGGGTGGCTTAGTCGGTTAAGCATTCGACTTCAACTCAGGTCATGATTTTGCAGTTCGTTGAGTTCAGGCCCTGCATCAGGCTCTGTGCTGACAGCCTGGAGCCTGCTTCGGATTCTGTGTCTCCCTCTCTCTCTGCCCTTCCCTCCCCTCAGAAAAAAATAAACATTTAAAAAAAGAACACGAAAGGCCTCATGCATCGAGAACTTCTGCACGCTCCGGGTCTGCGGGCTGAGGTCTGTAAAGCTGCCGGGTGGCCTCACGGCTCAGCCCATTGTCCGTACCCAGCCCCGGCCAAAGAGCTTCGTGAGCAGACTCCAGACTCTGTCCAGGAGAACATGTGAGAAGAGCCCGGAAAGGGCTAAGAAAGAACAGGCTGCAGGGCTGCCTGACGCTCCAGGCACCAAAGGGTTTACAAGCTGTGACGCGGAGGGCGGCGGACCCGGGGTGGCAACAGACCGGTGACCCCTCCGGTTCGTGTGAGGAGAGCTGGCCCCGCGTGGGAATTCACCGACGCTGAATGTGGTGCTTCACATCACCAGAAAACGGGTGGATTAGTTGAATAGCCATTTGGTGAAGAGTGAAGTCTGGTCCCAACCTCCCGCCGTACACAGAAGACTTTGTAGGGGGACTTCGGACCTAAACATAAACACGCAAGGACAGCGGGACTGGAAGAATGCCGGAGAGTGTTCTCTGCATGGCCACAACCGTAGAGGAAAGTGCTGCCAGGTGTGGCTACGCACAAGTCAACATATACATGATCTCCCTCGCTGACAGAGGTCAAGTACAGTGGAACCTGAGCAGAGGATGAAATCGGGAAGTTCCCAGAAGATGCCCACCAAACCACAAAAAGATGTTCAACTTCAAGAATGAGGCAGGACAGAAAAGAGAAAACACAGATGAGTTTTTGTTTTTGTTTTTTTCTCACAAGAGCAACAAACACAAAGCAGGTGCTAGGGCGCCCACGGCCGGGAGGTGGTCGTGCGGCCCGCGGAGCCGTGCTGGCGGGGTGAGGTGAGCGGTCGCTCCTACCTGTCCCCGCCTGGAATCCGGGGTGCTGGGCGGTGAGTGCACGCCCCTGTGCGCTGAGCACTCATCCCAGGCGAGCACAGATCTCCAGTGCACAGTCCCGTGACACGGCGTCCGGCGGGACAGAGCAAATGGGCCAAGAGGCTGGGTATTTGCCCTTGGTTTGTGCGTATGTGCCTATGTATGTATGTATTTATTGGGAGAAAGACACAGCGTGGGGAGGGAGGGGCAGAGGCAGAGAGTGAATCCCACGCAGGTTCTGCACTGCCGGCGTAGAGCCCAACGTGGGCCCGGAACCCACGAAGCCGCAAGACCACGACCTGAACTAAAACCAAGAGTCAGACGCTTAACCGACTGAGCCACCCAGGTGCCCCTTTGGTTTTGTGTTTTAAAAGCTGGTGTTCTTCAGGGCGCCTGGGTGGCTCAATCAGTTGTGTTCCAGTTCAACTCAGGTCGGGACCTCACAGTTCGTGAGTTCGAGCCCCGCGTCAGGCTCTGTGCTGACAGCTCGGAGCCCGGAGCTGCCTTGGATTCTGTGTCTCCCTCTCTCTCTCTGCCCCTCCCCTGCTCATGCTTTGTCTCTGTCTCTCAAAAATAAAAATATTAAAAAGAAAAGCTGGTGTTTATCTGGAAAGAGTTCTGAGAGACAGAAGATCAGCTCTTGAGCACGGTCGCCCTGGGGCGTCGAGACGAGCGGTCACGTCCACTGTTGAGCTGGCACATTCCTTTATCATTTCCGTTCCTGCAGCACGTTGTGCATTGTGTCATTTACGTCAAGTGACGAAGTGACCACGTACACAGTACTGTTGCACCCAGTCTTCAGCTGGGAAAAGTTTGGAGCCCAGGAGGAAGGCACTGCCGGCCCCACACGCCTCCACCCCTGTCCCCAGCGCCCCTGCTTTCTGCCTGCCTTTCCCTCCCTGCCAGCCGGGCCCTTGCTTGTTTCTCTTTTTCTGGCCGTCCTTTCCCTGAGGTCGCGCCCTTCCTGAAAGGCCTGGGCTGGCGGGAGAGGCGGGGGGCCACGAGGCCAAGCTCACGCGCTCTGGGGGCACCTGGGGCCTGGACGCCCCCGGCCCCCCGTCGCAGCCCCCGCGCGCACACCCTCTCACCTTCCCCGGCCGTTGCTGCTGCGTCTTCGGGGGCCTCGCCCTCCTGAGGGCTGAGCAGGCGTGGGGCCCGGCGCTCGGGGTCTCTGTTTTCCTTCAGGGTTGCCATCCCCAGTGGGATTTGTCGCCCACAGGCCTGGTGACATCTGCTTGTATTCTTTCACGCGTTGTTGCTTTCTCTGTAATAAGAATTTCTTTATTTTGTTGGTTCCAGTCACCAACTGACCTTTGTCACTTCCTTCCCCCGTCTCTCTGTGCTTTGCTGGACACGGCCCCAGGGGAGTTCTCAGGTGCGTATCTCCAGCCGTCTGCCACCCCTCCTCACAGCGCTGTCCGGCTGCAGTGGGGGGCATCCTGGGGACACTCCCCACTGCTGTCCAGTCACCGCAGGCTGTGCGGCCTGTCCCTTCCTGGGTCCCCTCCAGGCCACTAAGGCACACGTGCTTCTGCTTACCAGCCTACTGCCGCTCGGAAGCTTCTCTTGGTTTGCTCTACTAGCCCACTGACAATGGCCCTGACACGTGAGGGAGAATGGCTGTGCCCTGGACCCTGTCCCTCAAAGGCAGAGAGTGCCCCAGTGACATTTCTCAGGGTTCTCCCCTGTCAGGCACACCCCAGAAGTCAGGGGTCCCATGCCCACGTGGCAGATGGCCCAGCCCCGGGCTTCTCCGATTGTTCGCAGCAGGAGACTCTGAGGCCCCGGCCCGTCGACACGCGGCCTCCCCCGTGTACTCGAAGGCGTGCCGGGTCCCCGGGCACAGCTTTCCCTCATTTGCAGACTTGTGCCCTTAACCCCCACCCTCACGGCCCAGGACTCTGGTGCACGGGGTCAAGTACACTGCCCGGCCCCTCATCTCATCACCCGCTGCCCTTGGCCTGATGACCTGTGCAGCCAAGGATGCAATGTCCAGAAGGAGCAGCTGGCTCCGTGCCACCCCCCGGCCCTCCCAACCCACCCCTGTGTCCATCCCACCTG